CCCTCCCAACAACCCTTTTTTGAGATACTGATGGCCGGAGGCGTTCGGGAAGCGATATTTAGAGATTCACCTGCTTAAAAACGGTGTCCATTTCCCATCAAATCCCCTTGATTCATGCCTCCAGAAAAACACCGTGAATTCTAAGTAGCAATTTTCCCGCCAAATTCCAACTTGAAAATCGAACACTTAATCTTACTTACCTTAGCGCACACAGAGAGCTAAGCGCCTCCCCCCTGAAACCAAAGGTTTCAACACTTGTCAGATCCGAGAAATCTCTGAGTTTAGAAGTATGGTGCTTCAAAGTTAAAGCTTCGAAATTAAGGGGTTCCACACCGGATCCATTGTCATTGACTTCCAAAACATCAGCGCCATGATTTTTCAGCTTAATATCAATGTTTGTAGCTCCAGCGTCCAAGCTATTTTCAACAAGCTCTTTCATAGCGGTTGCGATGGTCAAGACAACCTGTCCAGAACAAATCTGATGGACAGATTTCTGATCAATCGCTTGGACAACTGGCGACAAGGTCGCAGCCGCCATTTTCGATAGCTTCGGAAGCCAGACAGCTTCTTCGGACGACTTCGGAAAAGTTCGAGATTTCCCGAACTCCCCGATATTTACTTTCAATCAAGGTATTCAATAATGGCGGAAATCTCTGCTGAAGACAGTCCAGCAGGAAGATCAATCTTCTTAGACGTACGTGCTTATTTTTAAATGATCATCAAAACTTTCTTTTTATACTGAAGGAGAGCCTTGTATTTTTGTTTCCTAGGTATTTCGCAGAGCAGACAAAACCGGTAAGTGGGCTAGTGTTTTCTGCTGTTTCGATCAATTCCGAAGCTCTGGTTGTGCACGTAAAGATTATACGCTTATTTTTCTCTGTGTGCTTTACATAACAGATGATGGTGCTCTGTCTTTAGACGAGTTCAAAGCTTTCTTTAGCGATGGAATCTTGTCAAATGAAGACCTGGAAAAGTTGTTCCATGACATCGATACTCACAACACAAAGTGAGGCCACTAGTGTTTACATAGGGAGGCCTATATAACAGAATGCAGGCCACTATTTGTGTCTCACAAAATAAGAAAAGTATTTTTTGTGGTTATCAAGCCTATTTTTGTAAATGTCAATTAGGTGGCTCTGAATTCTGTTATCAATACAAAGTTGACTTAAATACCCTCTCATCTGAGGCACATTGCATATGCCAAAGTTCCACCAAGGTTGCAAAATTCTGCCTAAAAGGACATCATTTGTATGCCAGCTTCTACATGTCGTAGTTCAATTTTACCCTTGGTACAGTTTGGTAATATTTTTCCTTTGTTCTGGTGTATGCTATAAATAACTACTTAACAACCAAGAATGAGGTATTTACGTGAAAATCTCAAACCGAGGCCTCGCCGNATCTCTAGCTGGTGACATGCTGCATTTATAAAAGTAAATAATTAACGTGCACTAATTACAACTTTTTTGGCATGTTTTTTGTTGTATCTAGACTACTTCATGAAGGAGATGGGACCTTTCTCTGAGATCTTTGCTAATCTAGAAAGCATGAACAGAGCTGTTAGTAATGCTTTAGTGGAGTCTGCAAAGGTTTGTAGTATTTACAGTTTCAGTAGCTGGCCCCTTTTGTAAAGTCTCTTAGGCTCAACTGGCTCATGAATCTTGGTACTTAACTCTAGTTTCTGTAGCATGAAGTGGCTAGCAGTACTGCTACCCCNCCCCCCACCCCCACTCCCTCACCCTAAATGGGATGCTACTACATGGCAGGTTACTCCCCAATGTAAAACTTGCCAGTACCCTTTCACACCTGGGTCGAGAGAGGCACTTTTATGAGAGTAACATTTTTCACCCAAGAACACAACAGAATGACCCTGGCCAGGGCTCAGACCTGGACTACTCGATCCGGATTCCAGCACCTCAGCCTTTAAACCATCATCCCATCCACATGCTTGTTCCTTAAATAATGGTATTTTGCTGAAGAAAGGAGTAGGATGTCTTGCAGCAGCAGAATAGAGTGGCTCTTGATTTTTCAGACGGGCACAAAACCTGCTGGCTGTAGAGTTTGATATTTTAAGCTAATCTTTAGCAGCCCATTTTGCTTTGTTGTTTTGACTAACATAAATGTTCTTCTTTTACTGTTTCCCTGTAGGCATATCCTGAAAAGTCTTTTATTGGGAAATTTACCACCCGTTTTCTTTTAAATGAGGTACTGGTGATTAGTATTTTAACCTAACATATTATTCTAGATCTGGGTTGAATCTGAAGCTTTTTACAGACATTACAGTTACTTGAACCTACAGATGACAATAGTCCAACAGTGTACATGTATCAGTGTGGGGTCAGTGACTGGAGCTTGAAGTTGTGACATTCCTGCTTCTCCTGGGGCATGGCAATGGATACAAAATGATTAGAAGCATTCTATTTGTGTGCATGTTTTGATTGCCATAACAATGCATCACAAAAGAAATATTGGCTATGAATAAGAAAGGCTAACGCATTCAAGAAAACTTGTGTACCTAACGCGTTAGAGAAAATGTGCAGGCCATTGCCTTGGCGTTAAGAGTGCGTTAAAAACTCACGTGCGATGTTCACTTGTCTCTGAGTGGGACTAGCTGGGACTCTATGGTAGCCCATGATCTGTTAAAAAACAAGTTGACGTGTGTCTTTCTTTCTTTGTCCTGTGTAGATTCAGGGGCAAATGAGTTGTCTTGAACATCACATCAATGCTGCAGTAGACCATATTGATGAGGAAGAAGCCAAGCAAAGGTGAGTTTACACCTCTTGAAGTTTGTGTTTCACATGTAAATGAGGAAGGGATTACAGGATAAGGGGTTTTAAGACAAGAAGAAGTTGGGATGAGACAAGAGTGTGGCATACTGAGGTAAATCCAACTCCGAGTTCTGCTCATCCAACCACCCTTTACATGATCACATTCAACAAGATAAATACCTGTCAGATCTTTAATAAAGGAGCTCTCATTTTGAGTTATTTTGGCTTCGTTCACCTTGAAGGAAACCTGAAAAAACTAGTCTACTAATATAGAAAAACACCAAAGAGATAACGGTAAACCATAAAGGATCAAGGATGGTTAAGGATGGAGAAGATTACCACGGATTACAAACGGCGAACTTGAAAAATTTAGGCTAAACTTTTCAATTTGCGCAAACTGTGATGTAGCTTGTTTAAGAGGAAAGACTGCCTGCAGGCGGTTTAAAGTGAATTTGTAGGGCAACATGAAGCCAAAATTAAGTATGTTTGAGGTTGTATTGAACTATTGTACCTTAATCATTTATTCATTCCTATTGACTGTAAAAAGGCCTGATGTTTGTCAAGCTGAAATCACCAACATGAATGTAAGAGGAGGAAGGATGAAAAGAAAAATGCAGTCATTTACACAGCAAACAAGTCTTGATGGTCAGTTCATATGTCAGTCTTTGAAACATCAGTTCTCTTGTATGTTTGTGTAGTACGCCGTTTATGTGTACATTGTTTGGGTCTTAGTTGTTAAAATCGTCTTATGTTCAACATTTACCATGTCAACAGCTAGCCAGCAGGCAATGAGGCATGGCTTGTCCCTGGAAGTGGATCGACTTGGACAGCTTATTGACAAGTTAGAAAACAAGGTATGTAAATGATTAAACCGATCTTTGTTGATTTTATAGTTTACAATAAATAAAAAATATATTTCGTGCGAAATCGTGCTAAATTTATGTCTTAAAATACGCTGAAAAAACGCAAAATGGCAACGGGAACAAGACCCAGATGAATACGTTCGGGCAACGTTTTGTATCCTATTAGGTGTTTATTGCCCGATATAATACAGATGGTACCCTGCGCACGGTCAAAAACCCATGTTTTGTCAGAGTATAAAACAGAGAAAAAGCGAGTTTTATTGTTTTTCGCCTATATCATAAAGCAAATGAAGAAGCCCGGCTAAGCCGTGTATTACACTGTGATAAAACACTCTGGACATTTGAGAACACTCGGGAAATGTAAAAAACACTCGCCTGCGGCTCGTCTTTTCTACATTTCCCTCGTGTTCTCAAATGCCCGTCGTGTTTTATCACAGTGTAATACACGGCTTAGGCTTCTTTACGTGTTAATTAATGTAATATACCATAACTGTGCAGCTTTTGTTTAATGACAGGTCAAATTTGATGTTATTGATGAAGAAGAAGTGGAAGTTGGAAAAGAAAACTTGGTAACTTAAAACCTTGTTAATCTTAAATGTGATTTTTACAACAGTTCATTGTTGACTAGAAGAAGTTAAACCACATCGAGTTAGTGGAAATTCATTTTGCTGGGATAACAAGTTTCCGATCGTTAATTATTAATTGTTCCAAAAACATGATCGCGGGGTTCATGTTTTAAATAAACACAACACAATTACAATTTTGTCCTTTTTGAATCCGAATCAGTTTGATATACCAGCATGTAGTTTGAGGTACGTGTACGTCTTGAAACATATTGGAACTAAGTCATTTTTTGTGTGTGTTGTGTCCAATCAGGTTATTATTGTGTCAAGGAAATTTCAAGTTAAGGCTGGAAAAGAATTTCGCTCCAACCTTAAGAGTTACATCGCGGCAACTTCTCTGGCAGAGGGATGTTTACAGTAAGTCACTAAATTTGCTCCGTATTCATGCATCTGTGGCAAGATAAATGAAGGTCAAATCAAAGCGACGCGAGCTGTGCTGGTCAGTTGAGATATTGGCGCTAATTTCGCGTGAAGAATTTGAACTTGAGCGAAAATGTATTTTATCAGTTTGCCGAAATTTTCCGATTGATTCACTGCAAAAGACCCACTTAAGGTGAAAATTTAAAGAAAACAGCAAAGTTGGGGGGAATAGTAGCGACTGAGGTCTTTTAGAGCAAGCTGTATGCTTTGATCCATGGGAAAAAGAGATTGCAGTAGGGACTAAAACCTTATTGACAAAACCTTAATTTCCACATTGCCTCTACAGTCTCGGTGTTCGCACCATCAGTGGAACCAACACATTTGTGGTGTACGAGATTTGGGCAAACAGCGAGGACTTGAACAGGTACTTTTTTTGTGTGTGTGTGTTTTCAATCATCGTGATTTAAAATAGGAGACTTCACGAACCAGGGGCCACGAAGATCTCTAAGAGGCGTCGGGGCATACTTGCTCTAAATGCTTTTAACTTTGGTTCAATTTCGAGAGTGAAAATTGCCTTGGGCTGTAGAACATTCTTACTGCGATACTACTCATTAAACCTTTTGTTTCGTTTCTCTTTGCCGTTGCCGTCGTGGTTTGCTTAAGCTCTCTATAGATCACACAAGACGTCAAAATGTGGTAAGAACATCAGTGTCACACTCGGCTATCGCCTCGTGTGCCACTTTTTTTCGTTGTTACCACGTTTTGACTTCATCAGACGCACGGCAACATGGACTATTTGTTAAGTCGCAGAGTGAATCGTATTTCTCTTTCTTCTGTGCGGCAGACACTTTTCATCCGATACTTCAAAGACATTCATGCATGGCAATATCGACTGTATGGAACAGCCTGAAGAGTACCAAAAAATGGCAGTGCCTGGTACGTAAGATCTCTTCCCATACCAAATAAGAAATTCTCATTAGAGAGTTGCTGCTCTTGTTGTGTTCACAGGCTACAATTATCCCTCTATTGCCATCTATGTTCGGTTACGATGTCACTTTCCCCTCCTCTACTGGTCGAAAACAAAATGGGAATTATGATGGTACATGTTGAAATTGTTTATCGCAGATTGGGAAAACAGTTTCTTGGTTCCTGTATTTTCACGGATATACGAGTGTATGACAGACTCGCTGAAGTACAAAAAAAGCTACAGTTACTGCTATTGTTAACTAACCGAGATATTTAAGAGCGGGTTCTCAAGATTCTGGCTGAGCTCTTCTACCGCTCTGATTGATGCATAAGTAATATGTTAATTTTTCTTAAATTTCAGCTTCATGGTGCAGGGCGTCGACCAACTAAACATTACTGAAGTTTGTAGGGATGTAGCATACATTTTCATCCTATCTATAGATTAAGCCTTTACGTTTTCAAACTTATTAATAATTCATCAACTTAGACAAAGAAAATCATAGCTGAACGGTGTCACGGTCTTTGAAAATGTGGTCAATTACGGACTCTAGTATCTGACAGCAAAAGGTTAGAACTGGGTGTCTGTAATAGAGGTAAAGATTATTTGCAGTCCGGTCTTCTGAAGTGAACTGTCCGTAATATAGAGTTTTCCGTATAATGGAGGTGTCTGCAAAGAGAGGTTTGATTGCACTTGTTAGTTTTTGGGAATTTAACTATAACTATTGTTCTCCAAAATTTTCACATACGAAAATAACCCGTTGACCATCGAACACTGGAGAGGGTTTCTTCGGCTACATTTTGATGGTTCTGAGGGAATATGCACAAGGAACCACATCTTATTGCGCGCTCTTTCTTCCAGCCCTTGTTTTTTTTTTTATTTCTCTACTTTTCGGGAGCCGTGTTGAAGGAGAAAGCTGATGCCTGGTGTACATGCCTGAGAGGGAAGATAGCACACGTTCTTACCTTGGGTTGATAATCTTTATTTTATACAGTAAAATTAACACGGGCACTTTTCAATTCAGCAATTATACATAACTTCTCTGTGGTAACTGACAGCGTAACAACTGACTGCCATTTTCACTGATCTGCCCATAGTTTTGGTAAAACTAAACTCGATTTAGGTCATATAATTACAAAACAAATACATATTATTTTCCTACATAAAAATTTGTTCCTTTGATATATCAGTTGTAACGATGGAAGCAACACGGTCCAACCCACTTTACAGACTTGGAAATGACAGTGGTTTTTGTCCCAAGTTCTCATAACTTAACCTGCGTCACACGAATACCACATCAACGCGAAACTTTCTAGGACCAACGGTGTCTGTTTTTAAGGGGTTTAACTGTATTGTAGTTGTAGGTATGACTAGATTGATTCTTAAATAGTTTAACGAATTTTGATACTGATACTGGAACTAAAAGAGGTTTAAATTATAAGCGATGGAGTCTTATTGCTGTTCTAATCAACAAGAAATTTTTGAATGAGAAAAGAATTTATTTTCTAGAGAAAAGAAATTTTTGGCGGTCCTGACGGCCTGTGAAAACTATCTTGAGATACAGGAGAGGTTTTATAGCAAACGTTCTTTGTCTAAATAGAACTCCAGATTTAGCCTTCATTACCGCTTCTAACTCAAGACATTTATCTTAAAGTTGAACTATGTCCCTCTGGTTTCATCCTTGTATAAAGCCACGGGTCACGTTATTACACTAACGCAAAAGAGCTGGCTACTTTCAAGAAGAAGCCATGAAAAACAATCAATGGCTAAAAACAAAACAATTCCTTTTTAACAAATTGGAGTTCCTTTGGACAATGGATGTTGGAGGTCTATTCTAAGTTAAGTTATTAATAGTTAGATACGATATCTTTTTAAAAATGGCATAAATAATCTCCAAGCAAAGTGCGCTTGGTAGAACGAAAAACAAAACACATTTATTAAAACGAGATAATTATATAAGAGTTATGATTCTTTGTGGATAGCAGATTTCCAAATCACACTTTCCCCAAAACAATCTTTTAAAATGTCACTGCAGCATACTCTTGGCAAGTCGTGTCACACACTGTCTACTCCAATGCATCGTTGTATTCCTAATGTTTCCTAAGGTCACGCCTATTCTCTGTCACGACAGGATCCATTGTAATTTAATATCCTATAACGAAGCAGTTTCCTCTAAAAGTTAAAATGCCATTTAAAAGAAACCCTTTTTCTTGTCTTTCTTCTTGGACTCTTTGTCTTTGTCTTTTTCTTTCACTAAACCGTCTACGGACCTGTCGACACGAAACAAAAGCACAAATTGGGTTACTGACGAGTCTCTCCCTCACTGAATTGCTCTCGTCACGCCATCTTTACTCTTTCCGAGTAACGGAGGGTTCGGCGTGATAAGCCAAAGAATAAGAAAGTGAAGCATTAGCAGCCGTCACTTCCCTTTGCAAAGAAGCGAGGAAGGACAAACTTACTCCACCCCACCCTAAAAGAGCCCTGCCTCATTAAATCGTGTCTTGAATCAATTTTGGAAATCCAGAGCAACCAACATTGAATGGGGATGTATCTTTTGTAGAGATGGAAAAGCCTGGCGGGACTACATTGACGGGGATTCGCAGCGTATCTGAAGGGGGAGGGTTGGTGGTTGGAATCAAAGGTACTATTAATGGCGAATTTTTCAGCTCGAATCTCGGAGTAAATATATTAGGGAATCAGGGAGCAGAACCTTAGTAAACCAAGTTATGTCTCCATGAAGTAAACTGAAAACGAAAAATTCCCAAACTACAGTTCTAGTGCACGTGCCGGTGAGGAGTGCTTTACGCATGCGTGCTTGTGCGCCATACACTGAGCGAACTCTTACAGCTTTTACGATGAGACTGAAATGACGCGCTGCGACGGCTGCCCCTAGAAACGACGAATTTACAGTGAATTAATACCACGTCGAAGGCATAAATTAGACACTAACAGATGGCAACGACAAAGTAACCTTGACAGGCTGAGAATTCCACCGACCGAGAGGCCACACTGCCAAGAGAACAAACTTAGTCAGTCGTCGAGATAATTATGGTTGACGGTTTGGGAACTGAAAAAAATTGCTGTTCTTTCATCCCTGAATGAACCATATGCAGGCTTTCTTATCAGGACAAGACAGGTCTCGCCCACCGCAGAATGAGCGCTTGGGCGTGATTGACTAACTCAACGCAAAATGGTACAGGGTATAAGGGGTACGCATCTCGAGCAATTTTACGCTGACACTAACCTTGCAATTATCCATTTTGCTGGCAAAATATTTTTTTGTGACGAGATGAGAGAAAATGTACTACAGTTAAAATGCGCTGGCCAATATGTCCTCAGCTTACTCCACGTTTAACTCCTAGCTACCCAGACATCTTAAGTTAGCTTTCCCTTATAGCACATTAATAGCATTTAAAGAAACACAAAATCAAGTTTTTACTGTTTAGCTTTAGAAGTTTGCTTTTAACGGTTAAGCTTTAAGCTGCACATTTAGCTCTTTAACGTGCGGTAACCTAGAAGTGAACTGTTTAGATCTTGAGAGTTTATAGCATGCAACTCAACGCTATACTTCAGTCTCCTGATTGAAGTTTTAATCATTTGGTATTTGGCAAAGCTAGGTTGCAATTATTCATAGTTTACTGCTTTTTTAGTGATTAGCTTACTTGTAAAGTTTATGAAGTACTGCATAAGAGAACAGAGAGAATCATTGCTACACATCTCGTCAACAATTTCTTATCGTAGAATTAGTGATAATTTAATTTCATGAATTTAGTGATCTCATGAGTACAAAACACTGCAAATCAGTACCTTGTTGTTTCTAGTTTTATGCCTTTGGAAAACACAACGCCCCATGGAACAGAGTTCGCTGGTTCTCTCTGTGTGAACAAATGATCAGGTTGTTATTTCTTAAACATGATTTATGGCTTACTTTGTTTCTGTTATTGTGAAAAAAAAAACACAAAAGTTGCATTTTTAAGTGGGCAATCTACATTGAGAGTAACCTACAGAGCTCTAAACCCGCTATTAGAGTGGCATGCCATATCTTACTTTAACTTTTTAACGTGGAATGTGGAATGCTTTTAACACTTTTTAACGCTACATTACGTTCTTAATTAAGGGCTTAGGATTAAGGAAATTATACCGCTCAGCTCGCTAGGTGTCAATGTAACATAGCGCCTTTCGTATGAACGCTCTTATTTTAAAGAGGCTGAGGCGAGAGACCGGTGACTACAGGACAAAGGCTAAACTGAGCATCAGGCCTTCCCGAGGGGAGGGGAGACGAGAAAAGAAAAGCGGAGGAAGCCTTTTCTTCTTTCTTTCTTTCTTTCCTTCTTTCTTCCTCCCCGTCCCACCTTACCTTCAAAAACCCTGATACTCAGGCTGAGCAGTGACAAGCTTTTAGACAGCAGCGTTTGCTATTAACAGAATTAATTGGACAGAATGAAACACCTGTCCCAAACACTCAATGCATATTTATAGCACACATCATCACTGTTGGCCGCGTGATTAAAACTTAAAAGCTACGTTTTACAGCTGCAACAGGCTAACAAAAGATGTCTGAGAGCATAGAAAGAGAACACTGTCTTCAAGAAGTGTTAATAAGCTAATTTCTTGAAAGCGCTCTGTCCACTTAAGACTACAGCCCCACGACCAGGTGATTTTTAGTATGGCTTAGGAAATGCTGAGTGGAAAACCAGAAGTAACTGTCAATCGAGATCGAAGTGGGCTGGGATAGAATAGTCCTGACTAACAAGCATAATAACCAAACAAAAATATACACAAACAAGAACAGCAACTTCTACCTGTTAATCTGTGGTTTTAAATTGTGACAGAAAAGTAATTTCAGAAATTACAGAAGAAGTTTTAATAATTATAAACTTCTGCTTACACTAAATTATGACTGTAAGACTACTTTTAAATTACAGTGCATTATAAATGTCTGCAAATTACAAAATTATAGCGACAGCTAAGTACATCAGGCGGACGGACACACTCTCTTTATTGAGAAAAATTATGATAACGTTTTTGAACACCTCTGGTTTTACATGTAGTGCATTTTGTTTGTTATTAAAGACACCTACTTGAGTGACTTGCTGGACGAATCTGATCTTTCAAGACCCTTCTTGTCATTGCTTTTCTGGTCCTCTTCATATTGCGCCTTCTCCCTCTCAAACTGTTTTCTTTTCTCCTCCAGTTCCTTGTTCTGTTGGTCGAGCTGTTTCCACATTTGTTCGTTTTTCTTGGCAAGCTGTTGATCAACGGTGACACAAAATTGTATTGAGTTCAAGAGTAAAGATGACAAATTAATCCGGCCTTTGTAACGGTCAAAAAGTTTCAACCAATCAGAGAACAGTCACACTAATTTGTGTATTGGCTTTCCTCACGTAGTTTTCCAGACTTATCAGCCAATCAGTGTGCCTAAAACAGCTTGAAAAACGTCGTCACCCAGTGTAAATCCCAGCTGTACCACTTCACTTCTTTGTTCAACTATCCCACTTACCTCTGCTTCTGAATCTTTGAGCTTCTTTTTCTTCTCCTTGACTTTCATCTCAAATACTTGCTCCATCTCTTGCTCCATTTTCTTTAGCTTCTGTTCTCGCTCCTCCTTCTCAGCTTCCAGTTGCTCAAGGGGACTTCTGCTTAGTGAAATGCTAGAAAAAACATACAGGATCGAGGTTACTTGATAAATGTACGAAGACCACTGACTTCACAACAATGCCACCCCTCTGAGTCAAACCGTTGAACGGTGAATTGTTTGTTCCCTCTGTTTAACAGTAATATCAGTATATTGCCTCTTGAATTTGTTGAAGTACAAAATTTGTTTAGATGACTCGCCCAGCATCCGATGAACAATCGGTGCAAACTTGCTGCATGGGCGGATTTAGGGGGTGGGGTGGGTCTTGGGCTGGGTGTTTAGGCACTTCCCTTTTTGGAGAACCAAACCATTAAAAAAATTTAAAAGGTTGTGAATATTATGGCAGAAATAAAGGCAAACACTCTGGACAGGTACCTCATTGTAATTTCTACTTTGTGCCATTGCTAGTATTTCCAGAGAAACGGTTTTCAATTAGATTCCAATTCTCAAAATTGCAACATTTTGAGAACATGCCCAATTACATGTAATTCTGCAACCCCAAGGTACATGTACCAGCCACCCACCCTTGAAAAATCCTGGATCTGCCCCTGTCCTATTTAACAAACAATAGCAAAATCAAAATCATTCTCGACTACACCCTTAATCTTGTTCAATTAAGAATGCTTCTTTTTCTCTGCGCCTAATAGAATCCGCAATGACTTACTTTGAACTTGGCTGATTTGTAGGTGAGCCTACTGTCATGGCTGCCAGCTTCTCACAGCGATAATTTTCATAGTGATTGTCATTCGTCATATCCTTAAGGTCCTGCATATGTGTTCTGCGAGAGGAGAAAAATTAAAATACATACTATGTTATTTTTTACAAGTTTAATGCCCTCGAAACCATTATTCCTCAATACGGAACCAACAAACAAACTAGTTCAAAAAGGTATTTATTATTAATAATAGCTCTTTTAAAGTTCTGCAGATAAATAAGTGAATCTATGAATTTCGGCAGACGTACGGCAAACTTAAGCGAATATTTACGTTTTTTTAGGTCACTTTCATGAAAGTGTAACTGAAATTTTCTTCTTTTGTGCAATGTTTTGATGGAGCAATTTGTCAAAACTAATTCTGAAGGGTCAATCAGAATTCTCCATTTCATGCTAGAAAAATTTGCCATATAATAAACACACATAAGACATGACAGATCTTCATCTGAACAAAGTATACATGTAAAAACCCATGCCAGCTTTACAAACATCACTTAAAAACTTACCTAATCAGCATATTTCTTAAAGCAACGAAATCACAATGGTCTACATTTTCAACTGAAAGAGGAAACAGGAACCAACGTTATGACTGTATACTTAAACCAAGATCTGCTGTGTACTGTAGAGCAGAACATTATGTTTTACAAAGTGACTTACATTAGGAGTAGAAACTGGGAGAGTTCAAAAAAATCCACTACGTGTAGTTGTAGTACTGGAATACTGTATGTTCATGTATATGCTAATCATCAAATACAAAGTCAGCACAATGTACGTCTTCAAAAAAAAAATTTTTTAAAAATTAAAAAATTTAAAAAAATTTAAAAAAAACAATCTTAAATATGTAATGTCTAGTAAAGCTTTCTTATATCAATATCATGTCAAAGTTAGTACCAATTTACCTTCTGCCACACCCCAAGGGTAGACTCTGGCTCTCACTCTTTTGCCATTGACTTCTAGCACTGTGTTGCTACCAACCACAGCGAATGGTATTCTGTCCTGAATACAAGGTAAACAAAAACAGTTTTCAGTGTAAGTCAAGGTAATTAAAAATAACAGAATAATACTACATGTAACTGAGGCCAATATCACTGGGTGTTTAGTACATGTATTCAGTGGCGGATCCATACCTTGAGCTAAGGGGCAGGGGGGTGGCAATTTTGTTCTGCTTGCCCTGCTGGATTATCTTCCTTCTGTTGTTTCTTCTTTTTTCGCCCAGAATAAGGGGGGCGGGGGACCTCCCAGACCCCTTCCCTAGATCTGCCAGTGCTATTGACACACCCACTGCCTGCTAAACCAGGACTACTGGACTGTCTTAACATGTAACAGTCCTCATTAACTGGCAACAGATGATGAGGCCACCTAAGTATTAAGTTTAAGAAATAAGTTTTAAGTTTTCAGCAGGAGGGCAACTGGTTTTAACAGGCCGGCAACACGTTTTGAACTAAATACTGTTTACAAGATGGTCAAACCAGGCGATCAAAATCGTCCTCACAGATGGTCAATTTGCCCAGTGCCTGGCCCTTAATGGAACCCCTGAGTTTTGTAAATTAGACACATCAATCTGCTATCAAAATACATAGCCCTAGTGTGCTAGTATAATTATTTATTTAATTTGTTGAACATTCCTACCAACCTTCATACTAACAGCAGCTACGTCTTCATCGTCATCTCCCCCGAGGTCAGGAAATTTGTAAATTCCGATGTCATTTTCTTCTATTTCTTTCAATATCTAAGAACAGAAGAGCTTGGTGTGAAATTTCTTTTCTTAGACACACTTAAAACACCATTATGCATGCTTATTTGAATGAAAACTGTTTCAAAATTAAACTAGAATATGTGGAATTTCCAAAGGTTGTAATGTACACAATGCAATCAGTAAACACCCAGTAAGAAAGTGTACATAAAAACTGTACATCTACATGTATATCGAAAAAAAAGAACTGACACAAGCTGTTGAATTGTGATAATCAAGACAAACTATAAGACATAGTGACTTTCCTTTCTTTCTCTTGTTTTCTATTCATTAAATAAAAATTGGTTTTACACGAAGCTTTTTTTTTGTTTAGTCCTAAGGAAACACACAACAACAGCTGGTCCTCAAACTGGGAGTAATCTAATACTTGGAAAATGTAATACAGTTGAACCTCCCATAAGCGCTTACAGGAGGTGGTCACTTACGAGAGCTTAGACCATATTGGGTCCAAATTTTGTCGCATCAGCATATCAGTAACTGCAGAGACTTACCCCATGTTTTAAAAGTTTTATTCGTNACAAAAGACATGACTGATCTTCATCTGAACAAAGTATACATGTAAAAACCCATGCCAGCTTTACAAACGTCACTTAAAAACTTACCTAATCAGCATATTTCTTAAAGCAACGAAATCACAATGGTCTACATTTTCAACTGAAAGAAGAAACAGGAACCAACGTTGTGACTGTACACTTAAACCAAGATCTGCTGCATACTGTAGAGCAGAACATTATGTTTTACAAAGTGACTTACATTAGGAGTAGAAACTGGGAGAGTTCAAAAAAATTCACTACGTGTAGTTGTAGTACTGGAATACTGTATGTTCATGTATACGCTAATCATCAAATACAAAGTCAGCACAATGTACGTCTTTAAAAAAAAAAAAATTAAAAAAAATTAAAAAATAAAAAAAAATTTAAAAAAAACAATCTTAAATATGTAATGTCTAGTAAAGCTTTCTTATATTAATATCATGTCAAAGTTAGAACCAATTTACCTTCTGCCACACCCCAAGGGTAAACTCTGGCTCTCACTCTTTTGCCGTTGACTTCTAGCACTGTGTTGCTACCAACCACAGCAAATGGTATTCTGTCCTGAATACAAGGTAAACAAAAACAGTTTCCAGTGTAAGTCAAGGTAATTAAAAATAACAGAATGATACTACGTGTACTTGAGGCCAATATCACTGGATGTTTAGTACATGTATTCAGTGGTGGATCCAGACCTTGAGCTAAGGGAG